CAGCTTATTGAGGAAGTGCCAAACTGCCTTCCAGAATGGTTACACCATTATACAATCCCACCAACAATGTATAAGAGTTCCTTTCTCACCACATCCTCTCCAACATCTATTACTTGCTGCCCTGTTAAACTTTGCCACTCTTACTGGAGTGAGATGGTGCCTCATTGTGGTTTTGATTTGCATCTCTCTTATTGCCAGTATTTTGGAGCATTTCTTCATGTGTCTCTTTGCTGTTCAAATATCCTCCTCTGTAAAAATTCCATGTCTTTTGCCCATTTTGTAATTGGGTTATCAGTCTCACATTCTTCTTCTTAAAGTCTGTTGTCTTGAATGATTTGTTCAGTGTACAGATTGAATGGATATGGAGAAAGAATACAGCTGTGATGGACACCTTTCTTTGTTAAGAGTTCTTTATATAATCTGGATATTAGACCTTTGTCAGATACATAGTTTGCAAAAATTTTGTCCCATTCTGTGGATTGTCTTTTTTTTTTTTAAATTACTTATTTATTTTTAATTTGGTGTACTGTTGAATTGGATCCAGCTGGCACAGGAGGAATTTGCCCCTCCTTCTCCAGCAGAGCATCTGGTGGATTTGAACCATGCACCTTCAGTATTGCAGTGCAGCATCTTGCCACTAGGCCACCAGTGCTCCAGGATTGTCTTTCTACTTGCTTGAACAGTGTCCTTTGGAGATTGAACATTTTAAAATGTTGATGTTCAGGTTATTTTTTCCTTTGGTTATTTGTAATCAATTTTGTTGTTATATTTAAGAAATCATAAGCCAGTATTTATACTTGTATTGCTTTTTAAAATCATTGATAATGTTTTTATATTAATGAAACATATTTGGGCAAGGCACAGAGGGGATAGTTTGTATCTGTTCATACAGTGTCATCTGGGGTGGCTCACAGCCCAGGACTTGGAATTTTCCAAAGTCTTGCTCATTCAGATGTCTGACATTTCATGCTGGCTGTTGGCACTTTAAAGTGCTGAAGAGCAGGGATATTACTTTGAGGACAAAGATGCACTTGACCCCAGCCATGATATTTTTGAGTCACCTCTTATGAAACATACATCACTTGTTGTTGAGTCAGAACTGATGTTTAGCTGACCAGAATGAGTAGCTCTGGTAGCATAGTCCACAGAGATTGGTGTTGCTAACTCAGAGGTGGAGCCACTCTGATGGTTTAAGTCACCAGTGGCTCTGAGAGAAAAAAAATGGGCATTCGTATGTCGTCCCCGTAATTTACAGTCTCAGAAAACCCATTGGAAGATCACCTATGAATCAGTTCCAAGTTGATGGCAATGAGAATGAGAGGCATGTTAATAAGAGAGACTAAAGAATTGATGCCTTTGAATTGTGTAGGTGAAGGATATCGCATCTATAATGGACTGCCTAAAAATCCAAACAAATCTTTCATTAACAAAGTGCAGACAGAATGCTTGTTGGAGGCAAGGATAGTGAGACTTGGTCATCTCTACTTTGAGCATGTTATCAGGAGGGGCATATCCCCGGAGAAGAGTATCAGGCTTAATAAAGGTGACAGTCAGAAAAAAGGAGGAAGATTTTTAACAAGATGGCATGACACAGAAGCTGCAACAGTGGGCCCAAGCACAGCAGTGATTCTGAGGATGGCACAAAATCTGGAATGATTCTGCGTATTGTACCATAGGACAGCTAGGAGGTTCAGGTTGATGGCACCTAACATCAGTATCATGTTGGCTTAGGAGCACAGTATTTCTCCATGTAGACCTCTGCATATGCTCTCTGTGCCAGTTTGGGCTACAAAAAAAAAGGCACATGGGATGAGGTCTGGGAGGCTCCCAAAACAGCTTACATCTATCAGAAAGGGACACCCTACCTTGCCGTCTGTACTGTATCTTTTACCAACCTGGAAGCCTCGCTTTATGATTTATTTTAAAAACAAGAGTTAACAGTTTTAGGTCTTATATTTAAGTTCAAGACTAAATTTAACTTCACAATTAGTCTTAGCTTTCACCTTAAAAGTATTTTGGACTGGTAGATATCAGTGCCATTGTGTAATTTTGGTTTTCTGAAATTTGATAGAATGTTTTCATATTTATTTATTTAAATACCCACTTTTTTTTTTTAAATACCCACTTTTAAAACTTTACTTTTTATCCCTCTTAGGAGAGGGATGGAGAAAATCAGTAGATGAGAGTCAGAGTATGTAGGGGTTAAAAACTTCACTCTCAGTTAAATTACTTACTAGCTTTGTGATTTGGGGCAAATTAATCTTTTAAAGCATTTGTTTTCTCATTTGTAAGATAGGGAATATGAGAATACTTATTTCAAAGGATAGTTGTGTTATATAAGAGATCTAATGCAAGGTACTTAGCATAATAAACAGTAGCATTAGTATTGCATTTTCTGTTAATGACTTTTTAATATCTTAACTAATAAAGCACAAATAAGACTGCCTTATTCCTCTGTCATGTCACTTCTCAGACTAGCTAAAATTTTAATCCCAAATTGAAATGTGACCTGTGTGACCCTAAATATGGCCTTTAAGACAAAAAATCCAAAGTAGAAAATGCAATCTTTAAACAGTAGTTGGTTTATTTATTTATTTTTTTAAATGAAGTGAATTACAACTCTTAGCTTGCTGTGTTATGTTATACCTTAATTCTTGTTTCCTTTCTTTACATAAAGCTGGAACTGGTGTACGTGTGGTCATGCTTCAGGAATCTAAAGTTTATTATAGTACCAGCCAAGAGTTCTGTTATAAAAATGTGCTTGTCCCGAAGTGGCATGATATATGGACACGCATACAGGTAAGAATACAGAGGCCCTGGAAGGAGCAGCTTCTGTGAGTGTCTCTGTCTGTGATTAGTGACATATTTGGAGATGATCTTGGATTGTATTTTGATTGATAAGTATTTACCTTGTATTCGCCTCTTTCTACTCCCTAAAGTATATACAATATTCTAAATTCTTAAACAATCCCTATGGTATACTAACTTCCTTCTTTTCCCTGGGAAACTACTCTCATTCCCCCGCCCCTCACCCCTTGACTTTTTCCAGCATAACACACCCTCCCTCTTCTCTTTCAATGCCTTATACCTTCTTTGGGATGGAAACTGTGTGTGCTTATCAGAATATAAACTCCCTTGACTTGCTATTCCTATTCTATTTTGCTTCTACACAAGATGTTTCATAAACCCTCTGAACTGAAGCTCTCCCTTGATAGAATGACTTTGGGCTCATTTATTTCATAACATTATTAAGTTACCTGGCCAGCAGGATTGTCTGGCTCTAATGGTGATTGAACAAAATGAGTTCTTTTGGAACTGTTGTTGCTGCTACAAGCATGGCTACTAATAAGGGCACTTGTTGTTCACATCAAGAACATAGGAGAGGGTTTGTATGAGAGTTTTTTAAAAAATTCCTGTTGTCTGATATATAAATCATACTCTTATCTGGGGCACATCATAACCACCATTTCCCTGTGATCAGTAATTTTGTGAAAATGGCTTGAACTTCTCAGCCTCTCATTAAATGGGAAACGTTTTCAGGGACTGTTTGTCTGGCAATTTTCTTAGTATTCTTGGCTTTATATAATTTCTTATAATACTGAGTTGATAATTCTTTCAGGTAGGAACTCCCCCCTGCCCCGCCCCTCATTCTCTGTCCTAATAGAGTCAGCTCATTGTAACAAGACATTCTAACACCTGCCTCTGCGTGCAGTGTTGTTTGCTCTTTTATGTTTTAGTCACTTCATCCCTATATTTCTTTTAAGCTTTGTGATAGACTTTGTGCTAGCACCGATTTAGCTATTTAAGAGGCTTTTTGTTTTGTTTTTAAGATTATATATGTAGGCACTTGGAATTCATGCTTCCTTCTTTTTCACCCCAGTTTTATTTGTCTTACAGATCCGAGTAAACAGTTCAAAATTGTTACGAGTCATCCAGGTGGACGATGAGGAGAAACTGAAGGAACTAGACCAATTTAGTATCTGGAACTTTTTTTCTTCTTTTTTAAAAGAGAAACTGAATGATACCTATGTTAATGTGGGTCTATACAGCAAGAAAACCTGCTTTAAAGTAGAAATTTTGGAGAAGGACACAAACTACAGTGTCATTGTGATCAGGAGTAAGTTTCTACTTTATATTTCTGATGGATTCTGTAATGAGGAGGGATTTAACCTTGGTATAAGTAGTGAGCCGGAAAAGTCTGCCCAGGACTGCTCTATTTTGGTTCTGATTATTACCTTGAGTTTACCAGTCCTCCAAACAATTCAAAGGGATTCCCCATAAGACCTGTTGTTGTTGTTGTTGTGTGCCAAGACCTGGTATGACTTAAATTGAGATTTCCCTTAGCTGAGATATTCCTAGTACTTCCTTACTTAGAACTGTGAAGACGTAACAGATGTGGTTCTGCCTTCTGGATACTTCTAAAAAAGGTAGATATCCTAAAATGTCCAGGCCTGTATTTGAAAACATATATGGTTAATAAAAACAAAAGAAAGGCTTTCTCTCCTTTTCTGCTGACAGCATAGTGTTAAGGGTTCCAAACATTAAAAAGCTACAATTGTTAGGGGAGCTCTGGTGGCCTAGGGGCAAGGAGCTGCAACTACAATCCCAGAGGCAAACGGTTCGAATCCACCAGATGCTCTGCCGGGGAAGGAGGGACAATCTCCTCCTGTACCAGTCAGATCTGATTTGACGGTACACGCACACAAAAATAATTAAAAAAAAAAAAAGCTACAATTGCTATTTTATTCTTAAGTGTATTTGAAAGATACAGAAAACCTGCATCTGACAGATTAAGTCCCTTGAAGTCTATGGGAAGATGGTTGTGGAAACAATATCAAAATGGGCTCTTTCATGTTATAAAGGACCACTAATGGCTTCTGAGCATGGGAAAAATATCTCATTTCCCCCCCCCCCCCATTGACTTTATTATGTAATGTTAAGTAAAGAAAAGAAAATTATACATGTTTGGAATAATGTAAAACAATGTAGGGGGAGGGATGGGAGTAAAGAAATAATGGTTCACATGTGAGAAATTACCATAGGCTAAGTCAACTGAGTTAAAGAGCAATTAGAGAAACAAAACCCCCCCAAAAAAGATAAGCTTGAATATTAATGCTTCACAGCAGGAAAAAAGTATTTAAGGACATGTAAAATAAAGAGGAAGTCTACCACAGCTTAGATTTGTTCCGAGACATTTCCCTTCTCTGAAGGTGTCTGAAAAGTTTTCACAGAGGAGGTTACTGTCCTGTTGGTTACTACTCAGGATTCTTATTCAGGGATGTGTGAGTAGCAGAAATATTTCTAAACTTTGCTACAGAAAAGGTGGTTCCCCTCCTGTAGTCTCAGGATTTCTAAGTTATTTGGTTGTAAAAAAGTGGCCTGACTTTTTATTTTTATTCTTAAATTTAATGCTCTATTGGTGGGCCTCTCCTAGACTCCTAAGCTTTTGAATATGTAAGTTTTGAGTGTATCAGGTATACTGCTGAGGGGCCTTTACCTGGGCCCCTAATTTTCAGTGAATTGTGTACGAGTGTAGGCTTTTCTTGTACAGTATGATAGGAAAGGAAAGTAGGTGGTATTAAGACAAGGAAAGTGGCCAGTTAGTGAGCAACTGTGGGCCCTGACCCCAGAGTTCTAGTCAGAGTTACTGAATTCTTTCTGTCTGTGAGTGTGACTTACGGTTTGAAAGCCTTTGTGGTAGAGACCCCTGGTGGGTGACTGCATGAAGTGCTGATGGCACTATGCCCGACGACTCCCTCCTGAGGTTTGTTTTTTTAAAAATTATTTTGACCAACTGAGGTTTGATTTCTTTTAGTTTTAGCATAGTTAGATAGCCAAAGCAGAAATAAGATCTTTAGAAAAGTACAGGTTAGATAGAGACCTAATTATACTTTCTCTTTTGGAAGGGCACCTAATGTTTGAGTGATGTTTACTTTGATATGTGGTTTGTGTTTATCTTAACTATAGTTGACCAGTGGATGTCAGAAGAAACTCTGAAAGTTGCACTAGGATGACAAAGCTAAAACAAATGGAAGAGAAGTGAAGGCGATGAACAAAAGATTTCAAAGGTAGCTTGAGAAGACAAAGCAAAGTATTACAACAAAAGTGTAAAAGAGCTAGAGTTGGAAAATTGAAAAGAAGAGCTCACTCAGCATTTCTCAAACTGAAGGAACTGTAAAATTCAAGCCTCAAATTGCAATACTGAAGGATGCTATGGGGAAAATCTTGAATGATCCAGAAAGCATAAAACAAAGATGGAGGGAATAAACAGAATCACTGTACCGGAAAAGATTGATTGACCTGAGACCACTTTAGAAAAAGAGCATATTTTCAAGAACCAGTGATAATGAAGATGGAAGTATAAGCTGCACTGAAAGCATTGACAATTGATGTGATACCAGTTGATGAGTTTCAACAGAGCAGTCCTTAATGTACTGAACAGTCTGTGCCAGGAAATTTGAAAGATAGCTCCTTGGCCAACTGACCAGAAGAGATCATATGTGTTCCCCTCCGCAAGAAAGATAATCCAACAAAATGCAGAAATTACAGAACAATATTACTAATACCATGCACAAGCAAAATCATGCTGAAAATCATCCAGAAGTAGTTGGAATAGCTTATTGACAAATTGCCAGAAGTTCAAGTGGATTTAGAAAAGACTGTGGCACCAAGGATATCATTGCTGATGTCAGATGGATCTTGACTGAGAGCAAAGAATACCAGAAGGATATCTACTTGTGTTTTATTGACTATACAAAGGCTTTTGACAGTGTGGATAGTAGCAAAATTATGACCAACCTTGAGTGGAATGGGAATTCCAGAACACTTAATTGTGTCCTTTTGAAACCTATACCTAGACTAAGAGACTATATTGTCTGAACAGAGCAAGGGAATGCTACATGGTTTAAAGAAAGGTGTGATTCAGGGCAGTATCTTTTCTCTGTACCTGTTCAGTCTGTAAACTGAGCAAATAATTTGATAAAGCTAGATTTGATGAAGAAGAATGTGGCATCAGGATTGGATGAAGACTCATCAAAAATCAGGTAGATTCTGAGTCTGTTGTGTGGCATGACAAAGCCCAGGTATACCCTACTTAACTTTAATCATAAAAAACTTTAAATGCTACTTCTGTTCCTTAGTCTAGCACCATCTTGCTTGCTAAAAATGAGGACTTGAAACACTTGGTACAGAAGATCAAAGATTGTAGTCTTCATTATGGATTATATCTCAACATAAGAAAACAAAAATACAAAAATCATCACTAATAGGAAAAATCATTATAGATGTGGAAAAGATTGAAATTATCAGCCATTTTATCTTACTTGGATCCACAGTCAAAACCCGTGGTCGCAGCAGCCAAGAAATAAAAGGATGTGTTGCATTGGGAAAAGCTGCTGTAAAGGACCTCTCCAAAATGCTAAAGAGCAATTTAAAGAGGTGAGCTTAAAGACTAGAGTGTACCTGATCCAAGCCGTTGTCTTTTTAGTTATTTGCTGTGCATCTGAAAGTGAGTTAAGAATGACAGAAAAAGAATTGATGCGTTTGAGTGGTGGTGTTGGAGAAGAGTACAGACTATCCCATGGACTGCCAAGAGAACAAACAGATATGTCTTGGAAAAAGTGCAACCATCGTGCTTCTTGGAGACAAGGATGGTGGAGCTTAGTCTCACAAACTCTGGACCTGTTCTTAGGATGGGCCAGTCTTTGGAAAAAGACATCATGCTTGGAAAGGTAGAGGGTCAGTGAAGGAGAAGATGACTCTCAACAAGATGGATTGACACAGTGACTGTAACAGTGGGCTTGAGGGTGATGCAGCATAGGGCAATGTTCAGATCTGTGTTCATAGGGTCATTATGAGTTGGAGTCCACTTGTTGGCATATAGCATAGTTGATCGGTACTGCTAACATTGCCTTGTATTGTGTAGTGCCTTAAAATATTTTGTTCTTCTACTAAACAGGATTTTTTTTCTTTATTTCAGGATTTGACCCCAAACTTTTCCTTGTCTTTCTCCTGGGACTTATGCTATTTTTTTGTGGAGACTTGCTGAGCAGGTAGGTTTTGAGTCTACTATGCGATATGACGAGGACCAGGTGTACCCTGCTTAACATAAATCTCTTAACTACTGAGGCTCAATGTCAAGAAGACAAAGATTCTCACCACTGGACCAGTCGGTAGCATCAGGATGGATGGCGAAGAGATTGAGATTGTTCACAGTTTCAGTTTGTTCGGCTCCACGGTCAACACTCTTGGCACCAGCAGCCAGGAAATAAAAAACGTATTGCGATGGGAAAGTCTGCTGTTAATGACCTCTCTAAAGTACTCAAGAGCAACGGTGTCTCTCTGGAGACTAAGATCCGTCTGATACAGGCCATGGTTTTTGCAATCACTTGTTATGCATCAGAGAGCTGGACAATGACTAGGGAGTATAGAAGGAGAATTGACACCTTTGAGCTGTGGTGCTGGAGAAGAGTACCATGGACTGCCAAGAAAACAAACAGATTCATCCTAGAGAGGGTTAAACCAGGCTACTCCTTGGAGGCAAGGATTCTGAGGCTTTGGACATGTTGCCAGGAGAGACTGGTCCTTGGAGAGGGACATCATGCTTGGTAGGGTAGAGCGACAGCGCAGGAGGGGAAGACCCTCTATGAGGTGGATTGATTCAGTGACTGGGGTAATCTGGATGGGTGTGTCAGAGGCAATATGATTGGCATAGGATAGAGCAGGGTTTAGGGCTGTTGTACATAGGGTTGCTATGAGTCGCAAACGACTCGACGGCACATAACAACACTACTTACTGTTCTTTAGTCCACTACCTTTATGGCCAGGTCATTGTTTGCTTGAGATTTTTTTTTTAAGGCTTTAATATGTGTGATAATTTTTGCTTTGTTGGTATTAATGACTGATGATGTTTATGTTGTTGATTGCCTTCAGGTTGAGCATGACTCATAGCGATCTTATGAACAAAAGGCCTGACGCCCCTCTACAGCTATCGACATTTATAGTCCTATTAGATTAACCTGTCATGCAATATAAGTTATAGCCAATATTAAAAAGTTGGACATCACTCTCTTTCTACTGCTGGGATGGTATTAAGCCTTGCTCTCTACAGGTGTATATATTGATGGGTCTTATGCTGCTGAGAGGCAAATAGACACTTATAAGTATTATAAGATTTTCTGTTACTTTTCATAACTTCCACTTATTTCCCATCTTTATTAGGGAAACTGACATGTGCAAATATAAAGAAAACATTGATAATAAACATTGAGCAAAGGTAGAATGAACACTTCGTACACAAATAAAAAAAAATTGAAATAGTCAGTAAAAGATTAGTAACTGGAGTTTGAAGTTGGGCTGGAGTGGGTTAGTGGAAGTTATTCCTTGTTTTGGAATCCTAAAGGAAGAGCACAGTGAGACAGGAATATCTAGTATGAAGTCTGATATGATAGTAGGAGCTCTGTGTTCTAGGTCACATGTTTACTTACTGTTTTACATAGCAGTTAATTTCCACTTTCTACCTACCACCTGCGCAGTATTCTTTCCCCTTTTTTCCCCCAGAGAAGTTGTGAAGTTCTTTAGAAGAATATTCTTACGAAAAAATTGGGTTGAGAGACATTCTGGTTAGGGGAATTGGGAGGCTAAATTATTACCGAGAAACATTTAAGAAGGGAGCTATGGTGACTTAGTGGTAAGGAACCCAAAGATAGTTTGAATCTGCCTCCTGCTCCACTGGAGAAGAATGGACAGTCTCCTGTGTGATTTACTGCCTCTCAAACCTGCTGGAGGGCATCTGTGGGTCGTTTTCAACTTGACAGTACTCAACAACATGATATTAATAATCTAAGAGTAGGTACAGTATACCAATCTCAATACTTCTCTGACTTCAAGATTTTCACAAATGCCTAGGTTTAATTTTGTACCTTTTCCTACTCTTTGGTTAGAATAGTCAGCCTAGCTTGAACATACATGATATACATATTGACATGAAGTAAATTTTATCTTTGCAGAAGCCAAATATTCTACTATTCCACTGGAATGAGTATAGGAATTGTGGCCTCTCTACTAATCATTATTTTTCTACTGTCCAAGTTCATGCCTAAGGTAAGTATCAGAATCTTATATGCAGTTAGAAGAAGTTTGGTTAGCTAACAGACTGGGTGTTGCTAGAACAGTAAAAATTTGAGTGATAACTGATATGTCAATGCCTACTCCCTCTTTGATTCTGAAAGTTACTTTCTAAAATGTAACTTTTAGCCTGATTTTACAAACTCTCCTTTTTTATATAAAGTGTTGTGCTTGGAGAGGATTTAAGTCTCCTTCCTATTAATCACGTAGCCAGGTTTTTAAGGTGTTTAGTATCTCATCTTCTTGGTGTTCTTTGCAGAACATGTTAAATATGAAGGACATCTTTTTAAGAGATGTGTTTTTTTGTTCACTTTGAGTGGGCTGAATTATATTGCAAATCATTGTTCCATTTTGCTTCTCTAATGTGTGGAAAACCTGTTGTAACGTTTTGCTTTCACTTCTACCCTCTGTCCTAGAAAAGTTCCATTTACGTCATCCTAGTGGGAGGCTGGTCCTTTTCTCTGTACCTCATTCAACTAGTTTTTAAAAATTTACAAGAGATTTGGAAGTGTTACTGGCAGTATCTTTTAAGTAAGTGTTACTAGTTTTTCAGTTACATTTTATATGTTACAGGCTATTTTTGTTAATTTAGATATGAAAAGATTGTTGCTCACTTAAAGAAGTGAGTAATTCATGTCATTTATTGACTTAAAAACGAAAAGTTCTTCATGTATTCCTAACTTAAGTGAAAATGATTCTGCTAGGGAGAAGATGTGTATTGTTGGTATATAGAAGTATACTTCTCACACAGTGTGCTTTTTCTGAACATTTGTAAACTGATGTTATTAATGTACTCCTATTTTAAATATACTTCAGGACTCTAAGAAATAATAGATTTGGTGAATTAGCTAAAGTCGTCCAGAGAGTAATTCTTAATTCTATCCTGTGAATTAATCTGGATTTTCATATATTGGTGCTTTAAATAGACTATTCCATAGTTGTTTAAGATGTATGTTCTGGAAAATCTCTTCCTGTACTAGTCAGATCCAATTTGACGGTACACACACACAAAAATAAAATTTTAAAAAGTTTTAAAAAATAAGAAGTATGTTCCATTTGAACTAGGTACACTTGGGATGATATAAGGGTTAAAAACTTAAAAATAGAAATATATTCTAGTAATGAAAAAATATGAATACTTGAATAAAAATCTTGTGTGATTTCTGGTTCACTAGATACTATATAATGAATTTACTACCACTCCCCCAGAAAAAATACTTTTATCAGGGATAGAGAAAAAGGAATGTCTTCTGATGACTCTTTTTGTAGGCTACATCTTCACAGTTGGATTCATGAGTTTTGCAGTGTGTTACAAGTATGGGCCCTTGGAGAATGAACGAAGTATCAACCTTCTGACCTGGGCCCTGCAGCTAATGGGTCTGTGTCTCATGTATTCTGGTATCCAGATACCACACATTGCCTTTGGCATTATCATCATTTCACTGTGCACCAAGAACCTGGAGTATCCTCTTCAGTGGCTGTACATCACCTACAGGTGACTGAAAGACAATATAACTTTGTATTGACATGTGCAATATGAGAGTCATTTGCAGCAAACGAATACAGAGGTGTATACCTGGAAACCTCTTTATTAAGGAAAAATCTTGTATTATACTTCTGCTTTTTTTTATTCTAATGTTTTTAGCCCTCTTCTTTTAGACATTTTCTATTAAATAAAAATATTTAGTAAATGGTTATGTGTTCATATTACCACTAGAGGGTGCACATTATAACACTTTATACAACACTCCCCAGCCACCTGGTTACAGATTATTTCATGTTGATGATCAGGTTGTATGAAAGTCTTATTTTAAAATGTAACATATAACATGTTATCATCTTGCATTGTGAAATCTAATAGTTACAGGTTATGAGGTTATCAATGATTCTTTTCTTCAAAAAGTGATTCCTTCAGTTTGGGCAACCTAGTTAATGGACCACTGTTTTATACTATCTTTTTTCTTATTGTTTTTCCATATACTGGAAACTAAATAAATATTTTATGACTTGTTGGAAAAGAATTGAGTTTATTCACACTTGTGAATAATACTGACTTTTGTAACTTGTCTCACTCGCAGTCAGATTTGTCCACTATAACTAAAGATATCTTTGGAAGAAAGTTTTGCTCTGGTGATTCTTACTGTTCAGCTGTCTGCTTTATGGTTGGCTCACTGAAGGTAACTGAAGGTAATACTGATTAATGATTCATAATGTTATTTTGATGAGCACAGAAAGATGTGTAAGACAACAGAAAAGCCTGTCCCCCCTCGCCTTCTGACAGAAGAAGAGTATCGGATACAAGGAGAGGTGGAGACCCGGAAGGCTTTACAAGAGCTTCGAGAATTTTGTCACAGCCCAGACTGCTCAGCTTGGAAGACTGTGTCTCGAATTCAGTCTCCAAAAAGGTAAAATCTTGGCCAACTAGATCAAGTATTTATCAGGATAATGTATCTAGAGTTCTAACAGAGACCACACTAGGTAATCATTTTATCTTTATGGCTTTTGTTTTCTTGTTAACCTGAAAGTAGTCAAGAGATAGGTAAACATAACATCCTATGTTATTTTTGTTAGTTGCTACGCCAGCTCCACCTCATGGTGACCCTGCGTACAGCAGAATGTAACCCTTCCAGACTCTCTTTGATCCTCACAGTCTCTACTCTGTTCAAAAGCCCATTGTTGGGGAAACTGAGGCCCAGTCATGACCATGAAGTTTTTAGTGGCTGAGCAATGCCTGACCCCCCCATATTTGCCTACATCCACTTTTCAAACCTTCCTTAAGCATCCCTCCTCACTGCCTCAGAACTGCACAGAGGTCTCCCACCCCACCCATCCCACAGACCTCCTTGGACTTGGTCCCCACCATTAGAATCCAAAAGCCCATAAAAAAAATAATTCACCGTGACCAAGTGGGATTCATAACAGGTATGGTTCAACATAAGAAAACAATCAACATAATTCACTATATTAACAAAATAAATAACAAGAACCATAAGGTCTTAGCAATTGATGTATAAAAGGCATTTGACAAAATCAAACAATCATTCCTGATAAAGACACTCAGCAAAATTGGAATAGAAGGGGAATTCCTCAACATAGTAAAAAGTATATATGCAAAACCAAGAGCCAGCATCATTCTCAATAGAGAAAAACTAAAAGCATTTTCCTTGCAAACAGGGACCTGAAAAGGGTGCCCACTGTCTCCACTTCTTTTCAGTATTGTGTTGAAAGTGCTTTCTAGGGCAATGCGACAAGAGAAGGAAATAAAAGGCATCCAGATTGTCAAAGAAATGGTTAAACTGTTGCTATATTCAGATATGATGGAAAACTCCAAAGACTCAACAAAATGTTATAGTAGGCCAGTTTAGGAGAGTGTCAGAATATAAGATCAATATCTAAAAATCAATAGGATTCCTCTATAGTAACAGAGAGAACTCAGAGAAGGAAGTAAAGAAAGCAATACCATTTGCAATAGCCAACCACAAATGGAGATAATTGGGAGTGAACCTAACTAGAGATACAAAAGACCTATACAAAGAAAACTGCAGAGCATTTCTGAAAGACACAATAAAAGGCCTAAAGAAATGGAAAAATGTGCCCGGTTCATGGATAGGAAGATTCAATATGCTGAAAATGACAATCGTACCAAAAGCAATCTACATGTTCAGTGCAGTCCCAATCCAGATACCAAATTCCTTTTTCAGAGAGATTGAAAGAGAAAGTATCAAATTTATTTGGAGAAACAAGAGACCCGAATATGCAAAACACTTCTGAGAGTTGGAGGCATAGCACTCCCTGACCTCAAAAGCTACTACACAGCAGTGGTCACCAGAACAGCATGGTACTGGTACAATGACAGGCACATAGACCAATGGAACAGAATTGAGAACCCAGAAATAGACCCAGCTATCTATGGTCAGCTGATATTCAACAAGGAAATCAAAGGTATCAAATGGGGAAATGACAACCTCACTATCCTTGCTTTTTAAGGAAAACTCTGGCTGAACTTTTTCCCAGGAGAGATTTGTTTGTTATTTTGGGAGTTAAAGATTTTTTTAAATTAAATTTTATTAGTTTTAATGAACATTTACAGAGATTTTGGGTTTTCATTCATACATTGTTGCACCGCTTTCTCCACCCTCCTCCCCAGTCCGTTCCTCCCTCCCCCCATATCTGTTTTAATTGTCCAATTGCCACAGTACCCACCAAAGCCAGTTCTGATCAATCTCCCTTGTCAGTGTGTCCCTTGCCATTCCCTATCTCTCCTCCTTGAGAGAGACTTCACCCTGATTCATAAGGAAAAGGGGATGGCGCATTCTCTTAGCTACTTCCTGCTGAAAAGGGTCGCTGTGGGCTTCAGGGTGAAGGTCTTCTCTCACTACTCTAAAGGGCCCCTTTGGCAGTAGGAAACACATAGACTATTATGGAGATCGACCCTGAAATTTAGATGCACTGCCATCAACCGTGCTCATATCCTTGAAGATGTATCATGGAAGTGCTGCAGCCTTCAAACTGCAAAGCAGCTAGATGTTCTTCCTTTATCTTGAGTTTCAGCTCATTTTTCCTTTGCATCTCAGCGATTTCCTCTGGGGTGGCTAGTACAGGTGATGATTCTGCTACAGGTGGTGATTTACCAGACTTGCTGAGTCAACCCAAGGGCAGGTCAGTAGTGATGCAGCTCCCGCCGGGCTGCAGCTCCCCGGCCCCACCGGCTGTAGTGCATCTTTTTACCACTAAGCATAGTAGAGTTCCTCCAGCAATCGGGTGATGAGACTATCCACGTTCAGCTCCCCGTCGGCCATCTTGTCGGCACTCCCGTCCTGCCTTCCCTCCGCAGTGGAACAAAAGCAAAAAGTGAAACTAAGGCCGGGGCGCGGGGTCCGCGCGGCGCCTGGCGCTGGGGTGTCCACGGTGCGCTCCCGGCCTGATCTCCCCGCAGCCCTGGGTCCGGCGGGGCCCAGGCCAGAGGCCCCGGAGCCGGGAGCGGGCCGGGAGACCGGAGGGTCAGCGCCCCATCACTTTAAACTGGGAGTTAAATCTTAAGGAACTTAAGCTGACTTAGCTTTAACTGTACCATTGAGATGGGAAAACAACAATGACATGTTAAGTTTGTCTTCTGATAGTTTTTCATTACTCCCTGAATGGGATTTTTATTTTTCCATTGGGAGTAGTTGTACAGTGTGAATGTGAAGTTTCAATTTAGAATCCTGATGGCATAAACTTTATAGGGCTATAAACACTAATAAATGTGCAATTTCCCTTAATCTTATCAAGATTGCAGATGACTGATGGAACCTTAGTACTTTCATGACTGAAAAATGGTACTCTAGAGACTATTAAACAGGATTGAGTTGTAGGAGATGTTGGCCTATGACCCCAGCTTTACTCCTCCATGTTTGTTACTTTAGTCTTTATGTGAGAGCCAGGACTCTTGGCTAGACTTGATATAATTTGAACTGGAGTATGTCAGGAGTATCAGTTCTTGTTTTGAATAATGAACAGAGGACAGATTCCTAATAAGCATTCTCTTTGTCTTTTCCAGATTTGCTGACTTTGTGGAAGGCTCCTACCACCTCACACCAAATGAAGTTTCTGTCCACGAGCAGGAATATGGATTAGGGAGTGTGTTTGCCCAGAATGAACTCTTTGAGGACACATCCTCTGAGGAGGAGGGCTCAGATCGTTGGCCTGTCCTTGTCACACAGAACAACTTTTCGGCTTAGATGGTGCTCAGCGATTTCTGTGTGGATTGGCTTGATATTTGGGAGGTTCATGTTGCAGTTGCTTCTCTATCATTTGAAATAGGGGGAGATAGTGCAGACATTTCCCCACTGACATTGGAGGCTTGAGTAAGCCTCCCTCCGGATTGAGTCTAGGTGATCTCTCTGGGATCCCTGGAGAAGGAGTGTGGATAAAGTAAAGCATGCTGCCAGCAGTTTGTTTCCCATTGGATGAGCTGTTTGCCTTTTTTGTTTCCAAAGAAATTGATGACTAGAATGCTATGCACAGCCAGCATGGCATTCTGGTGGGTTTTTGAAAATTGATTCAGTTGTGGTATTTCTGCTTCTCTTTTCCCCATAGCATAGTTTAAACATTTATAGCATCTTTTGACTCCAGTTGACCCTCAGGTCTGAAAGCCGATAGAAATGTGGTACTTTGCTTTTAGAAGGGAGCGCTAGTGGCCTGTGGCAAGAAGCTGAACTGCAACCTCAAAGGCATGCAGTTCGAGGCTGCCAGCTGCTCGCAGGAGAAAGATGGGCAGTCTCCTCCTGTGCGATTAACTGCCTCTGAAAACCTGCTAGAGGGTCAGTTCCGACTCTACGGTAAGGAACAATCAACAATGCTTTCAGACTATAGGCTGCACTTCCCATAGAGAAATACACAAATCTGAGCCTCTTTCACTTCTTTCAGTAACTTCACAGTAATCCTTGATTTAACACTTTTTTAGAGGAAGATGGACTTTCCTCCCTGTCTTTTTTTTTTTTTTCCAAAATAAGTTTTTAAAAAATCTTGCAAAAAAAAAAAAATCTTGCAAACTCATATTCCAGCACTAGAAAATGTTCCAGGGTAACAAAGCCCACAGGTCCCTCCATATTTATTAACATGAATTGTCCATTAATAGCCTAGGAGCTGTTGTGATTGGTTGAGCTTTGAATTAGTTCTCAAACCTGCGCTGTGCTGGGCTGAGTTTTGCTTGTCTTTAGGGGGAATGTGTAGGTTCTTCGTTAGTCAAAGTGTAGTGATCCTTCTTATTGCAATTCCCTTTGAATTCTGTCTTGCAAATCAATTTGCACCCTTCCCTTACTGTTCCTCCTCAGCTGCCTCACCTCCCTGCTTCCTTGTTCCTTTTCAGGTGACCTCAGTTGTGAATTGTGTACAGGTAAATGTTTAATTTTTTACATTCTCTCTTGGTTTTATAGTATTATTCATGCCAACTAAGGGAAGTAATCTTGTTTTGAAAGTTTAAATGCTTTTTATTTTGTTGTATAGGCTCTTCATTTTTCCTGTCAGTGGATCCCATATCTCTTGGTTGTTGTAGAATCAAGACTCTTTCCTTTCCCTTCCTTTGTTTGCTCATTCTGTTTATTCTTTTCAGTTGTACTCCTCACTCTCCCACTGGGGGAAAAAAGGGGGCTAATTTGTAAGTTCTAAAACCTGAAAAGTTTCTTGATGGACAAGTTGTAGCTCTGTGACTGCCACAGTTTACATTGCCAGGAAATAGACCTTCTGGTGAGCTCCATGCCTCAGGATACTCAGTCAGCCATCAGGTCCAGGATTGGAAACATTTCCCCAGGATATTATTGTGCTCAGTTGGCAGTTTATTTCTGACTAGAAAGTTAATGTTACTCTTCATTACAGTAACATTGGTTGCAGGTTCCTTTGCCATTTGAGAGTACCCTTATGAACCAGCAGTGCCATTTATGGGAGGGCCACATTCCCATTATCTATTATTTGCTTGATTCTTGCTTCATCATTCTCACTCTTGTACTTCAATAAGGTAGAGACAATCATGAGATCAGATTTACTAGACTCATGGCATCTGATTAGAGCCTTACCATGTTCATGTTTTTAAAAAAACAACACACTGATGACTCCTCCAGACTAGCCATTTAGTCAGTTGTGAAAGGCCCTGGGTTCCATTACTGGTTTCCATAATGTCACCTCAGACTCTTTTTCCAGGTGGCCAGTTAATTCTGCCTACCAGTGTGTCCCACAGCATGGCATTACACTATCCTAAAGTGACAACTACCTCAGCTGGCAGCAAATAGACACATAGTAGAAAGTGCAAAATGAGTAATCCTTGGGACGATGTCTTGGGATAGAGTTGTAGGATGAAAGTTGTTTGGTTGTTTTTTTTTAAACAATGAATGAGGTTTTATTGAATAAAAGCCTTCCTCATTCTAGGATGAAAGTTTTTTTGGTTTTTTTGTGTGTGTGTGTTTTTTTTTTTTATTAGGATGAAAGTTTTAAGATGGAAAACCTTGGTGCCTTCTTGAATTGTGTACGTGATCAAATTTTTTTCCCCTTAATGAAGTACCATAAACCTCTGAGTTAAATTTTTGCCTTATTTATGGAAACTGAAGCCTAGAATGTGAACAGAATTTCTTTTGGAAAAAATATTTTAGACATCTAAGTGGTCTCAGGACTCCGTGGGAACTTTGGTGCCTTCTCCAAAATAGCTACTATGGGATGGTGATAGCTTGCTTCCAGGGTGACTTTCCTCTGGCCTTAGGTCTTATTTTAGTGATAAAAGGTTTTGAAAGAAGGCAGAATCTCTTCTTTTTCAGTTTGCTAAACTTGTGAAATACAGTTTTCACCTGATGACTAATTTATTCCACTGTGTTCAAATTTGGGGTAAGTAAAGGCAAATTCGGTTTATTACTTTCTTTCTGTCTGGTGATTGGCAGTGAAGATGACAGTTGGTCCTGCAGCATAAGAGCGCTATCGTACAGGGAAGGATGGTTCCACATAATGTGCTGTGTGTCCTCTCCCTGCCTGCTTATGTGCCTCTGACCTAGATATTTCAGAGCCTGTGTGCCTGGAGATTGCTCGACTCTTGTCTGCCCTCTTTAGGAGCTGCTTCTTTCTCCCTCTTGGTCACTTAAGTCTTTTGGCAGAGTCACTACTTGAAGCCCCCATTTAATTTTCTCTGGCAGTTATAGCTCCTGCACTTTTAGCATAGTCTTGTCTCCTCCCAGACCAATCTCATCAAGAAGGATTGAAGGGATAACTATGGGTTGAGCTGGCTATTGGAGCCATGTCTGCTGCCATGTCAGCATCTTGCTCAGCAAATAGCAAGCTGTAAATTGATTGTAGGGCTCAGGGTCTCATTATCATCGGAAATCTGTCACTTCTAATCGGTCTGACCAAGTTTTTGTGTAGAGCATGTCTTCCGTTAATGGAGGTTATAAGAGGCAAATGGCCTCAAACATTTCCCTTTCATTTTCCCACGTAGATTGCTTTCATGGTAGTAAAAGAACACAACAAGCAAAACCAAAATTTAGCAACTTTGATATGTTCTAGTGAGAAGTTTCTATCAATCATTACATCCTACTAAAACTATTTCTCTTCCCAATTTCATTATGTCTTTTAAGAAGTGATTTTACTGGTGATATCTCTTTGGTCTCAATGTTGTGCTTTATGCTGACATATCCCATTCTAAAGCCTAGCCCCCTTTTCTTTGACTGTGTTTCCATTGTCCTAGTCCTTAGTTGGCATATATGAATGCAGTAAGACCCAGATAGGCCAGATAGTTCTCCAAGGCCCTGATACCCATCTAGGCCTTGGGAGTGAATTAATTACACAATTGCTTTCAGTCTTTTTTGTTGTTCCAGAGAAAAGGTGGGCTCAGATGGATGTTCACGTAAAAATGGTTCCTAGCTCTGTGCTTGAAAGTTTTCTCTGAATTGAGAAGCGAAAGTTGAAGTGGGAAGAAAGGAAATTAAATGTCTTTCTCATTCCTTTGGACTCAGGTTTGACATATGAGATAATAACTTGCATTGAAATGCCAAGAATTTTATCTGAACCAAGGAGAGGAGAGTCTGACAGATTTATTGGGCCTCCGTGTTCTATAGGCACTGAACCCAAGTAATCAACCTGTGAATAGCCCCTGCACAAGGTGCGTGTACTCAGAACTTGCTACTTTTCAGTGTGGCAGAAGCTGATTATGTTGGTTTTTTTTTTTTTTAAACAAAACATACCAAACAAACCCTATGCAACTGTAGTGACCCAATGGTGTTTGTTTATGGATCTAGGCTACTATTGATCTAATTTCTGAAATGTTATTGGTGCCTTAGTTAATGGGAGACAGAGTTAGCAGAGAATAAAATTGAACACACAGCTTTAGCAGGGCATGGGAATGATTAGAGTCTCCCAAAATGTGGGACTTTAGACTCCCATCCTCTGCCCATATTTTTTATCTTTCTTACTATAGCAGAGATTACTTGAAAATGGTGAAATCACCTTCTATGAACTTTCCAACAGTGTGAGAAACAGTCTTATCATGTTAACACAGTTCATAATGTATTAGAATTGTTAACAGCCTGCACTTGGCTTCAGTTTTCAATATTTCTGGAATTCTCAGTGGAATAGCAAGGGTAAGGAATTACTGGGTAAATTTTAGCCTGTGGTAACGCCTTAGTATGGTTTAAGAAAAGAGATTTGTGTCATTGTCATTTATATTGATAGTAAATGTTCATGAATAAAAGGAACAAAGTTATCAGGGATGGCTCTTTGCCACGAGTCGTCTTTTTTCCTACCCTTCTGTAAGAGAAAAGGTAGCAATATATATTTTTTCATTTTTATTGTATAATTTGTAAGTAATCCCACTATTAATAAAGTTTTATAGGCCATATTGTGATCTCTCTTGGTGACCATGTACTTTTCTTGTTTGTATCTCTTGTTTTCAGTTAATCAGCAGTAGTTCCTCACATTCTTCTTTCTAATGATAGAATTTCACATACGCTCCTTTTTCTTACCCTGCACTTCTTGTCTCTGATTAACCTAGACTAAGTGATTTCCTAGGATATCCAGTATCTAAGGACTATTCTATTAGACACACCAGGTTGTACCACCATGTTGTCTCAAAGAAAAACATACAAAGTATTGGTTATCTCTTTTTTTTTAAAAGTCTGTAACACACATATTTAAATAGTATGCTATTTGACAAAAGGTTTGAAACCATCCAAAGGTGCCTCAGTAGACAGGTGCTTGATGATCTACT